ACAAATTCAGCTGGTGGCGCAGCGTGTAAGGCGACGAGTCTACAAACACCAGATCGTGAGTTTGAATCTGGGAGTCGGCCTGAAAAAAAAAAAACGACAAATGTAGTTCAAGATGCCAGTGTCGGAGCCATGGTAAGTACAGCATGTAGCTGAAGGTGTCAAGGACCCTGATTGGTGCTGTGGGTCACAGGAAAGGTCCTAATAGGGTACTGTTGTTGGTAAAGATGGCCATATGAAGGCCTGGATGTGGGATGTGGGTCATTCCAATGTGGGCTAGGATGGCCAGAGGAAAGGGTTGTTGTGTGTAAGGGTGGCCATACTGGGGGTTGGTACAGATGGGTTGGTTGGTTGGGGGGTGGCAAGATGGGTTGGTTGGTACAAGCAGGGTTGCTGGGGGTAGCACTGTGGGAAAGGATGGCCAGACACGAGGGGGTGTTGTTGTGGGCAAAAAGTAGGGGTGCTGGTAAAAGGGGAGCCTGCACTGTGTGGGTAAGCATGGTTAGAAAGGGGTGGTATTGTTGGGGTTAAGGAGGCAGACAAGTAGGATTGCTGTGTTTACAAACATGTAAACTGACCATGACTGTATCCCAGTCACCATACATGCCACGCCACCAGGAGTTGATGTGAATAGGTGACCATAGGAATATATGGCATTGGTTGGTACAAGAAGGGTTGCTGGGAAGAGGGGTAGCAATGTGGGAAAGGATGGACAGTGTTGTGGGGGTTGGGGCAACAAGTATGGGTGCCTGTACTGTGGGTAAAAGAGGGGTTGGGGTTAAGGATTGTAAGCGTCTTGTCTTGTGTCTTCCTTATATTGTAAAGCGCTGCGCAATCTGTTGGCGCTATATAAATCCTGTATAATAATAATTGGGGGCCAGCCAGAAGGGGGTTTACAAACGTTGGAACCTACATTTGGCTTCTGCAATCAATCAGCAAATGTCTGTGATTTGAGTTAAAAGGTTTGCATGGCTGTAGTAGAAACCTCAGCCAAAAGGGCAGAGGTTACACCACACCTAACTAAGCTAAAGGAGCAAAGGGTAAGTTGACTTCAGACTGCACATGTTGGCATGATTGGTAGGGGAGTGTGAGCTGGGGCACCCACTACAGTGGGTAGAATCAGACATTTCACGATTGCATGGCAGTAGGGCAAAGTATAGTTTTAGGGTAGGAGGCAATACCTTAGGACAGGTACTCATAAAACCTAGACAGGTGGTAACAGATGAGGGTTGGATCGACAGAGGTGATCAAAGTCAATGAAGGCAGTCCCAAGGAACAGATTGAAGAGTTCCACATAGCTCTTGCAAGCAGGAGTTGCAGTGGTAGATGCTTCCTCGATGCTTTACTTGGGAAAAAGAGCACGGAGTGAACATGACACATCACCCATCAGATTATGTTAGCGCACAGCATAAACCCACTAGTGATTAGTCGTAAGGGCTTGCAAAACTCCCACAGTACGCTGTACCTGGATCTGTTTTACAAACACCATAAAAATTCACTATAACATTTAAAAAAATCTAAAGTCCAAGGCTGATTTATAGACATTTTAATGTCAATACACATAAGGGTTTAGGATTGTTTATTTCTGTCATTCTAAATTGGCGAGATTGCACTGTTCTTTAGCTTGACAAACCTCTGATATTGTAGAAAAGGCTAATAACACCATGGAAAATTGTCTTCAGCATTTGTACATTTTTACATAGTTTTTATTGTGAAATAATCTGAACTTATTTATATACAACTGTAGTTCTTGATAAATCCACTCTACCAATAGAATTAAAAACATGAACTGGACAGCCGAGATATTTTTGTTTGATTTCTGTCCAGGTGCCTTGGGTCCACCATAGTCCACTACTGCAGTCCATAAAAAAAAGTGGTAGATACCTTCATAAAAGGCTTTTTCTGCTTCCAGAGAGACCGGTCTCCAAGAGCCATTTAGATATATTTACATCTTTGCAGTCATTCACAGTGAAAATTAATCTACGATCAGTTTGCATTGTACCCAGCTTAAGTACTAAAATGATACAAGTCATTGTATCATTTTCCATCTTGAGCATCAATCTTGATGTCCCAGGAGAGGCAAGAAGCAATGATCGTCAAGAAAAATGTCTTCCGATCCTCATCGTGTTTTCCGCTTTGCTCCTGGAGATGGGGGATATTGTCGGACCGGTGGCATGTCATAATGGCTGGGAATGTGGCTGTTTTTAGGCGAGTCATAATGGTTCGTTTGGAGACTGTTGCGGGGGGAACTGGTGGAAGCTGCCGTGGCACCTCTCAGAAAGCTGTCTGGATAATGGAAAAGAATATGTTAAATATGTTTTACCTTCATATTAACTGTTCACTTTATTCTTGCAGCCAGGGCCAGTGCAATGATTTTTTCCTACACAGGCGAAGGTGCATTTTTGCACCCCCCAAAAAACATTTTTGGTTTTGGTTTCGGTTTCGGCCTGACATTTTATTTTTTATTTCGGTTTTGAAATTTTCTTTTTGGTGCACCTCTAATTTCTTTTCTTTTTTTTAAACTATTTTATCACGTTTTTATTGTTTTAACTTTTTAAAATATTTATTTCTCTGATTATCTTTTACTTTTTATAATGTTTTTTATCTTATTTTTTTATTTGTTATAATTTTTTTCTTATTATTTGTTACTTTTTAATCTTACTATCTTTTACTTTTTATCATTTTTATTATAATTTTTTCATTTTTTTAATTTAATTTATTTCCACTTAGCTTTATTGCTATCACGCAGGAGCTAACAAGCCTTGTGTGATAGCATATGGAGGTGACAGGTTCTCTTTATTGAACCTGTCACCTCCAATACAGGAGTTCTAGCACAGCAGAACCAGAGGCGTAACTAGAACCTTCAGGGCCCTGGTGCAAGAAACCATGAAGGGCCCCCCAACCGCCATGGCACCGCATGTTAACAGGTAGGCTGCCGAGGTCCCCAGCAAGCACGGGACCTCAGGCAGCCACTTGTTTAAAATTTTAGTGCAGTGTTCTATCGAGAACGCTGACCCAGTATCTGCGTTTGCCCACAGATGGGATTACCGAGGAAACAGGCATTTATTTACAAAGTATTCGTTTGTAATGGCTAATTGTGACTGTTCCACACCTCTCTGTGCTCCCTCTCTCTCCTCCTGGCCGCTCTGAAGCTGCAGCGGCCGGGAGGAGAGAGAGGGAGCGCAGAGAGGTGTGATCGCCGTCGCCGACCGTCTTAAAGAGGCGACCGTCTTAAAGAGGCAACCTTCCAGTCGCATCTTTCCTCCCCCACCGGCGCCCTCAGGCAGATGCTTGACCTGCCTATATGGCAGCGCCGGCCCTGCTTGCAGCCTACAGAAAAAGCTGGTAGACATTCCAGCAGAGATATGTTTCAAAGAGTTCATTTTCTATGGAGGTAAAAGTTATAATATTGGAATCTGAGCATATTTGCAGTTTTCTATCTGCACTGTATGCACACAGTAGCAGATATGTGGCCTGCTGAACTCCATGTAGATATACATATAAAGGATATACACATCACTGCTGCTCTGTATTCATTAAGTGGACCTTTACCCCCGTAACTAAAAATCACATCAGTATACAGCTCTGCATGCTGATATGAAATCATGTTACATTCATTAGCTAAACAAACATATATATTTTTTTACTTACAATTTTTTTTTTCCACTTCCTGGTTCTCTTTGGCACAAATGATGTAATGCGTCCAAACATTGCATCCTGGGAAGGTTACATCAGCAGAGCAATGCTGGAAAATTCTCATCTGTAATCTCATGAGATCTCAGGCAAAGGCATTTTCCTCCCCTGAGATGATGTGTATGGTCACATCCTAGTCACATGTGCCAGAGTTCCAGGAAGTAAAGGGAGATCTAGTAACATGCCCTTAGTTAAAATGGCCACTGTCAGAAGACTGGGGAAGAAAAGAAAAATAAAGTATGCAAACTATAAAAAGCCGCCAATTATCTAGAAGTAGATGTAGATTATCATTACTAAATATTTTTATAGGTGTATTTGTTGTTATTTTGAAGAGATGGGTAAAGTTCCTCTTTAATACATCATTAAATAACAATAAGATGCTTCGTGCCAATATGCATCCCTGCAGCGAGCACTAAAAATAGTAACACTAAATAAAAATGAACGGTAAATATATTTGCAGCGCTTAAACTCAACCAAACATATTGCGCAAAATATAAATCACAATATTAACCAGTTGACATCCGCGGTGTTAAACCCCCTTCCCATCCAGGCCATTTTCAGTATTCAAATGCTACTCTATATTCCTCGATTGGTGGAAACACAGAGACAAGGTAATTAGTCTGCTGCTACTTTTACTGTCTAGTCACAATCTAGGGGAGGGGCAAGTAAATATTACCTAACTGAGAAAATTGAGGTCTCCTAGCCTGCCAGACAGGGCTGTGCGGCAGAATTGTGTAAATCCCATCCCATATATGTATGGTTTTAGTTGTTTGCTTGTTTGAGTTCAGCTTCAGTTCATATATATTTTAGATCAACAATGCTCATCTTAGAGGCTTACCTTGATCTTGTGAGTCCACCTGGTACATGGCGTCTTCGTCAAATAGTCCAATTTCTGCATATGACATTTCTCGGTGCACAGGAGACTTCATCTCCATGTAATTCCCCTCTGAGGTTCTAGACATCAGCATGGGGAGATCTTTAATGGTTGCATATGGGTTCTCGCTGTTCAGGGAGCTGTTACTTATGGTGAGAGTGGAATCTTTCACATATTCTGAGGAAAACAAAAACAAAAAATCTCTTAGTCTACGGCAGCTTTTCTTTAACAGGGTTTTGTAGAACCCTATGGTTCCTCTAAAGTAGGGGTAGCAAACCTCCGGCCCTCCAGCTGTGGTGAAACTACAAATCCCATGATGCATCTCTCTTCCCGCATCATGTCTGTGGCTGTGAGAATCTTGCAATGTCTCATGGGATTTGTAGTTCCACCACAGCTGGAGGGCTGGAGGTTTGCTACAACTGCTCTAAAGGTTGCTAGGGGTGCCTTGAGCGATGGCCAACTTCTGACTTTCATATAGATAATCACTAACACAGATGATCTATTTATCTATATGTAAGGGGGGCATTCTTCCAACTGAACAATACTATAAGAAGCATTCTTCCTAACGGCCAAAAATGTAAGGGGCATTCTTCCCATTCACCGTCAGTGTATTGGGTCCTTTATCCCACTGACCACCAGTGTAAGGGGGCCCTTCTCCCACTGACTACCAAAGTAGAGGGGTCCTATTTCCATTGCCTACTAATGTAATGAGGGCCCTATTTCCACTGACCACCATGTAAAGGAGTTCTGCTCCCAACGGCTGCCAATGTAAGAGGCAATTTTTTACTAATTGGGGTACTATTCCATTGACCATCAATGGAAAGTAGACATGTGCGCTGGCAAAAAAATCTTTCGTTTTGATTTCATTCGAATTTTTCATTATTTTGTTTTTCAGGATTTGGGTCCAAAAGTCAATTCGTTTCGGGATTTGGACAAAATACGAATTTTCATTAATTTTGTTAGCAGTGTTGTGAATTAATTTTCATTGCAGCAAAGTGACATTAAACAAAAGAAAAAAAAAAGCGTGAGGTTTTCCCCCATTTGATACTAGACCCTTTAGGTTTGGTAGGAATGTTAGAAGGGATCCCCCAAGTTAAAAAAAAAGCATATGGGGTTCTCCCCAAAAGCCCTTTAAGAATTTTAAGGGGGAACCACCCAACACAGGCCCAGTAGGGCAGGAAAGGAGGGGGACGATCGAGCACCCCCCTCTCTGCGCCATACCAGGCCCTTGGCATTGGTAGGGTGTCCCCATGCCGATGGGGACAAGGGCCTCTTCCCCACAACCCTGACCTGGTGGTAGTGGAGGTCTGTGGGCAGGGGGGCTTATTTAATTAAGGGGGCACACAGATGCTGCCACCCCCCCTTTTGGATGAGTAAATTCACTAAAGGGTTAAAAGGGTTCAAAGTAAATAAACACACCACATATTTTGAAAAAGTCCTTTAACTAAAGAAAAAAACAAACCAAAGTCAGTTTTTGACAATTCCTTTATATAAAAAAAATGGATCCATCTATGTAATCCAGCGTCAATCACGATGAATGATGCCCGCTGACTCGCCAAAATAAAAAAAGTCCAGCCGCACGACGACCTGTCCGAACCCGATGAAGACTCGCCGCAAAATGACAGCTCTGGCCCGAATGTAAATAAAAGGGCAGAGCAAGCTGTGACGTCATGGAGCTCGTTCCGCCCATTTGACATTTTCAGCTGTCATATAACACAATTATGGGTGGATGTTGTAGCTTAAAAAAGAGGTCAGCTTTAAAGTTTAGAAAACTTTTAACAGATATATTCTTGATATTTATATATACCACCCGATATGTTAAGCTGAAGTCCTCACATGCCCATCCTTACAGAGGGATCAAGCTTCTGGACATATCTTTGTGCCATATGTACCCACCATTGCCCAGCGTATAGATAGGTGGATGCTGTTCACATGGTGGCTCTGAGGAGTATAGGACATTTCTATACTCCTCAGTGCCATACAGTGGCCCTAGTTCCATGCAAACAACATCCACCCAGTATACGGTTTTATAACTAAACCTCTATGTGTAATTAGTTGTTGATTACTGGATACTCACCATTTCCTTTGTTATAGTAAACCCCAACACTGTAACTTCTATCCATGCAATGCCTTCCTGCAATCAGAATAATATACATGTATTTACTCTGACAAGTATCTAGGCTCGTGAAGTTTATTTTATAAGAATATTTAGCTTAGTTTCTAGGCTACCTCTGAGTCTATTGAACAATTGTCACTAAGGGGTGTATTTATAAACAATTTGCAGGGCCAGCCATCCTTCAAAACTTCATAAATGTTCGGTCTGTACAAATGGAGCACAAAAGAAACATTCTTAGTACATTTTCTTTCCAGTGTGACTGTACTATATGTAAAATACCACATTATGACCACTAGAAGGAGCTGATGAGAATAGGAAAGAAATACTTATTTCCTCCACAGCTCCACTTAGTGGTCAATATGCAATAATACATGATGACAATTGATATAACACTGGACGTATATAGCTATATTATATATAAAGAATGTTCCCTTTTGTGCATCCATTCTCACAGAACGAACATTCACAGAGATTTTCAGAAGCAAATGGTTCTGCAAACTGTTTATAAATAGACCCCTTACAGTTGAATTTTGGGCAAAATAAAAAAATGAAATTTTTTGTAGTTTTATTACCAGTACATATGTGCACCTTCTGTAATATGGTGACATTGGTGTTCATGCTGCAGTGAAATCGCACTGCAGCGTTGTCACCCCATGAACAGTATAGTCTTAGACGTACATGAAGTTTTAAATAAACAAAGAAATGAAAGCCCAGCTCCAGCCAACACTTACAGCTACAGCAGTCTTTTTGTTTCTCTCTATAGGGCCAGGACCATGTACTGAAGATGGAGATGAAGGAAGACGGTCCCATAGAAGTCATAGACATGATTTACAGCTACAGCAGCCTTTTTGTTTCTCTCTATAGGGCCAGGACCATGTCCTGAAGATGGAGATGAAGGAAGACTGTCCCGTAGAAGTCATAGACATGACTTACAGCTACAGGAGCCTTTTTGTTTCCCTCTATAGGGCCAGGACCATGTCCTGAAGATGGAGATGAGGTAAGATGGTCCCATAGAAGTCGTAGACATGACTTACAGCTACAGCAGCCTTTTTGTTTCTCTCTATAGGGCCAGGACCATGTCCTGAAGATGGAGATGAAGGAAGACTGTCCCATAGACGTCATAGACATGACTTACAGCTACAGCAGCCTTTTTGTTCCTCTCTATAGGGCCAGGACCATGTCCTGAAGATGGAGATGAAGGAAGACGGTCCCATAGCAATCGTAGACATGACTTACAGCTACAGCAGCCTTTTTGTTTCTTTCTATAGGGTCAGGACCATGTCCTGAAGATGGAGATGAAAGAAGACGGTCCCATAGAAGTCACAGACATGGCAGGGATGTAAAGAGTCACTAGAGGCCGCAGATTTCAGATTGAGTAATGTTATCATTTGTGGAGGGGGAAGTGGATTAGGTTAGGTCAGGGTGTGTGTGTGTGTGCGTGTGGGGGTCACTCTATTGGCAATATATATTATTTTAATAGTTTATGTAGGGTGGCATGGGAGGGGTGTAACAGCTGGGTCAGCACATAGAGTAATTAGACACTCCCAGAACATGAGAAGACTATTATGTGCAAGGACAGAGGGGGCTTTGCTAAGGAACTGATTTGTCTAGCATGTTTAGAGGCACACTGCAAGTGCATTAAAAGAAAATCACCCATGAAAAGGAAAAGAATTTAAAGTACTTGATTTTTCTGTTATTTAAATATGCACAGGGCCGTCTTTAACGCAAGGCAAAGAGTGCACTAGCCCCGTGCCCGCTGTCCACAGAAAATTGCTGATCGGATCGCATAGTATAATACGTTATGGCAGCGGCCGCATACAGCAATGCCATAACGTATTGTCCTATGCGATCTGCACGATCGCATCGTAAAAGGTAGCTCCTCCCCCGGCCCCCGCCCGCATAGCGTGACATGTCACGGGCTTCCCTGGAGGACGTGAGGCTGTGCGGACGGGTGCCTCACTCACGTCCAGGACATCCGGAAAGAGGCAGACTGGCACGAGGCGAGGACTGACTGAGGCAGGTAGGTGAGAAAATAACAAAGGAGAAATATAAAGGAGATATACAATTTGTATATCTCTCTGAAAAGCTCACTCCATTTCTGTTCTGTCCTTCATATATATGTGAATAACATGATTGATAGAATTACAATGCATGATAGTAGAAAGCCATGATTAGACATAATTAACATGATTAGATAATCAGACTTAACAGAGACATGATTGTTTGTAATTTGACATGATACAGCGTTTTTGAAGGTTTAACAGAGGGGGAGCCTAGTTTTCTCTCAACGTTTTGCACCTAGGGGCGCTGTAATGGATGTGGTATATATTCTTCAGGAGAGGGAGGTTGTCATTCAAATGGGTCAGTGTGTGTGTGCATCTCTGCAGGGCCGTCCGTCTTCCTCTCACTGTGGAGCCCCCAGCATGTTGCACAGTCGCCCCGGGCTGCACATTTGAATGACAACCTCCCTCTCCTGAAGAAGCGCCCCTAAGCGCGAAACGTTGAGAGAAAACTAGGCTCCTCCTCTGTTAAACCTTCAATAACGCTGTATCATGTCAAATTACCAACAATCATGTCTCTGTTAAGTCTGATTATCTAATCATGTTAATTATGTCTAAACATGGCTTTCTACTATCATGCATTGTAATTCTATCAGTCATGTTATTCACATATATATGAAGGACAGAACAGAAATGGAGTGAGATTTTCAGGGAAATATACAATCATGTTATCATTTTTTACATTTTATTTTCTTGGTGGGGGGCCCAAGAAAATGTTTGCCCAGGGTCCGATCCATATTAAAGACGTGCCTGAATATGCAATGTATTTAGTTGGTGATAGGGTCTCTTCAGGATGTATGAACAAAAGCTGACCATTGTAACCACCCCTGTTAGAGTTATAGGTTTTGTCCAATCCCTGTGGCTGAAACTTTTTCTGGACAGCTTGGCCTGTTACTGGAAGTGGTAAAATAACAGATCTACTGGCACGATCGACCAGATAAAAAATAATTACATCGAGAATAACAAAAACTGCTGTGTTAATGCTAGCCACTGACTGTATCATATACTGTATGTCATTTTTTAATTTGGCCCAAAGCTACACTTTAAATTAAACCTTATTATAAGTGTAATGGTTTATTTAATGTATCCACTCTGTGTAAGGGAAAGCCAGACTGTAGTGTTTTTATTGCAGTTGATAACTGCAATATTGATTATTAGATCAGAAAAGTAACATGATCAGTTACAACTGTTACTGCTAATTGTTGATTATAGTGTATCTAAACTCAAAACTAAAAGTGTAATATATTGTAGCTTATCCGCCCTTAGATGTGGTGGCTGCAATAGTTTTCTTTTTCCCTTTATTTTTCACTTGGTAAAAAAACACAATTCCTATCCCTTTGTGGCTAACTCTGTCTTTTCCACTGTATCTATTGAGGAAGCCATGGCAAGCACTGGACTTCATGTCTAGCTTTGTTCATATCCATTACATAGTGCATTGATGGGGCTATTGGCTGTTAGTACAACAAAGATAAAGTGATGTGCGCTTTATTTTAAGTTAACAGAAAGTGAGAAGGACACTGTATTTCTTGCAAAGTCAGCAGGACATATTTTGTAGATCCTGAAAATTGATGTTCATAGCCTGAAAAAAGAACGTTAATGAGGCACCACATCAAAGGACTGGAAAGCTGCAATATATCAAATTTTTAGTGTTGGGTTTAGATACGTTTTAAGATATTAAATGCTGAACCAAGCAGCCAATATACTGTATGTGGTGTACCCAGTTTTCCCCTATATACCTTTGTGATTCATAGGTATCCCCTGATGTTTCCAGTCAGCTGGCAGCGTAGCGTTATAATCCAGACCATAGCCACTCATCCGTTCCCTCTCAGCATTCATTGCATTGGAGAAATGAGGATTGCAGTTTGTCTGAACAAAGAGACACAGTTAGACACCTGCAGTCCTAAAGTAATGAGTAACACAGTTTTAGACTAGTAATGCAAAGTGTAGTAACCTGTGGCAACCAATTAGACCTGATGTGTTTCTTCATGTAAATATAGTACTAGGAATCTGATATACTGTTGGACTTTTACACAGTCAATGGAGTTTGCGGTACATTTTTTGATTAAGGAACGCTCAAATCACTCATTTAACAGCTTGCCATAAGTAGACTACTCTCTGATGTTTGGAGAATTGTTTCTGTTAAGAGAGCCTTGTATCCTGAAAAACCTTAGGGCAACTCAATAAAGATTAGTCTTAGGGTCCACCATATTTGGTGCTAGAGAAGCCAAGGCTACAAACACCTGCATTACTTTCTTTTTTAGTTCTAATTTCTTATACGCAGAATACTGAGACATTACCTTTTTAGAACCGGGCCTGTCTTGGCTGCTGGGTATAGGTGGCAAGGCAGGGCCACATTGAGATAGCGTATGGTAGCTGGGGTTTGAGTAGTAGTGCATATGACTAGGAGGTACATCTGCAAAAAAGAAATTACACTTACATTGAGGTCACCACATACAAATATTCAGAAATTTAAAAAACTCTTCTACTTCCACACTGGACATATCATACACAAGTGTGGAAAAAATCTAGTTCTTTAGCCCTCATCCCTCAAGCAGCCAAGTGCATGATACATAAAAAAAAGGACTTGTGTGTCAATGTGGCAAATCTTCCTCAATGTCAATGGGTATGTCTGAAATGTCTGAACGAGAAGAAAACAGATTTGCTTCAAGGAACCAAAAGGACCTCCACTGTTTTGTTGCATGCAAGCTGAGCTGTCAGAATGCATAACAGTGTGATGAGTATGGGTGATTAACCTTTGTGATCTGGTCTTCAACTGGACTGGCTTTTATCCAGACTCCAACTGCACGTAACAAAAGTGAAATCTATTAATGGTTGTTTTAAATTATTTCAACAGCTCCCCAACAATAATTTGCTTTTCAGTTAGACTGGAATTAATCTATAAATGGCTACTAGGCCAAAAGAGTGACATCGGAGAAATAGTGAATGCTTTGAAAGCTATGCTTAGAATTGACTACATGTGAAAACAACCCTTGTTAATAACTGGATGCCCACTAAATACATTCATTACTAAAATAACACAACCATTGTATGATTTTGCGGAAAGAAAGTCATGGAGCACAAGGAAGAAAGGGAATTGTGCGGAGGAACAGCATGAAATATATATTCTGGGGTGGATTAAAGGTCAAAACCACTTACACATTATAGTCAACAGATTGTGGACACCTGGTCATCAAACTTGTGCGCTAGTTGGACATATCATTACAAAACCAGGGGCATTAATATGGAGTGCCCCAACACTACCACCACCACCCCCATAACAGCCTCCACTCATCAGGGAAGGCTTTCAACAAGATTTTGGAGTGTGTCTATTGGAATATGGGCTAAAAGGGCATTTGTGATGTCATGTGACTCACCCAACCGCTCAGTGTCTGCCACCCCTCTCTGTCAATCCCTCCACTTGCTTCCAATAGCACAACACATAAAATTAAAAATACTAACAACAACATACAAAGCCATCCACAACTCTGCCCCTGGCTACATCTTCAACCTCATCTAAAAGTATCACCAAACTGTCATTTGCACTCCTCCCAAGACCTTCTGCTCTGTAGCTCCCTCATCACCTCCTCCCTTGCTTGCCTCCAGGACTTCTCCAGAGCCTCTCCCATCCTTGGAACTCCCTACCACAACCACAACCTCAATCAGCTTATCCCTCACAGTTATTACCTTCTGTATCACTTGCCCCTCCTTGTAGATTGTAAGCTTTCACGAGAAGGTTGCTGTAATCCTTTTATATGGTATTGTATTGTAATTGTACTGTCTCCCCATATGTTGAAAAGCGCTGCGCAAACTGTTGGCGCTATGTAAATCCTGTATATTAATATTTATAATGTACTGATGTTGGAGGAGAAGACCTGGCTCGCAATAGACGTTCCAATTAATTCCAAAAGTTTTCAAAAATAAATTCAGGGAGTGCGTGGATTATAGAATGCATGCACTTAAGAAAACCAGTACAAAAGATAAATGAACCAGATAAACTATTGTCAGTGGGGAAACCCGCTTTTATTTATGCCAAATAAAAGTTCAATTGGACTAGTTGCACCAATTGCACAAAAATCCTAAGTGCAACTTTTCGCACATACAAAATTCTCACAGCCAAATAAATAATTGTTCAGAAAATGAGTTTGTCAATATTTGGCACAATAGAGATATGCCGTAGTGTGCCAAGAGAATGACGGCGCAAGACAATTATACATTCTACTATGCGCCAATCAAACTATATGTGCTGTAACATAATAGTATATTGGAAATGCGATATGCCATATAAAGTTGTCACTTGTGACCATTCACATTCCTCAGCGACTGCCAATCCTAATTTATCTGCCCCAGTATGTGTTATTCCTGCACAAATTATATAAGTGCACTTATAACATTAAGGAAAGTCATATGACCGGAAGTAAAACATGAAATAGAAAACAACCATGCACATACATATATTACTCATATACATTCAGGGATGCATAGTAACCAAGCTTCAGAAGCACAGCAGATCAAAACAAATAAAAGCACATGCAATATCTATGCAATACTATTATACCTGTACAAAACATCCATAAACAGTGTAGGACTTTACATTGAAGTGGTGCTTTTCTTAAAAGCCTAACTGAACCTTCAGTTTTGTTTAACATCCTACAGTTTGTTTTCATTCTAAAGAAGCCACAGCCTGAGTAAAAAAGCCTGTTCCCTCCCAACATGCTGCAGAGAAGGACTGTTGTTATCAGCAAAGAAGTAGTGATCTCTCTGCAGAGGTCCGACAGAAACCGCCAATAAGTCACAGACTTAATGTTCTGCAACCAGCAGAACTCATGCTCCCAAACGACTGGGGAGCTCTGACTCAGCAGGCGGCATGTTGAACCTCTGCAGAGAGATCCCTGCTTCCCCACAAAGAACATGGGTACTTATCTGCAGCATGCTGCCAGGAGACAGCCTTTTCTACTCTTTTTCTAAAAAAAAAAACCTGTAAAACGTTGCACCGCTTTTGTTTTGCTCTACCTGGAATGCATTTAGCAGATATAAACTGAAAGTTTAATTGTGCTTTAAGCTAGAGAATGGACAAGGTTTTGGAGGAATCTAAAATAATAAAACCTTCATCTATACTAACATTGTTTGCTAGCTAAATATCAAATAAACTAGGATAGCAATATGTTTTAAACTAGGTGGAACACTCACTTTTTATAGCTTTTGCAGCGGTCTCTTGTACGTACTCTCGTGTCACAATGGTGGGTGCATGTATATTGGGAGTCATCTGGGCTGCTCACTGGAAACTACACCTCATATGTTTCTTTGCACTTAAACATGCTAAAGGTGCTAACCTGCTTTGCAACCTGTAGTTCTAGCAGGGGTGGCTTATAAGAGTGACAATGCTGCTCCTGCATATACACATAGGCAGGCAGTGTTGTCACCATAGAGAAGGAACAGGAAGAGTGGAAACTTACTGGCAGGATCATTAGGTACAGACATTGGAAAAGAAAACCTGCAGACACAAAGCAATCTCCAAAAAAACAATTGCAGTAAAGGGTAAGCTACCATATACAGGTGAAACTCGAATAATTAGAATATCGTGCAAAAGTAATTGCAGTAAGTGCTGCAAAAGGGGCCCAAACCAAGTACTGAGTACATATGCATGCTTGTACTTTTCAGAGGTCCGATATTGTTCTATGTACAATCCTTGTTTTATTGATTGCATGTAATAATCTACTTTTTTGAGGTTGTGGATTTGGGGTTCTTGGGGTTTTCATGAGCTGTAAGCCATAATCATCACAATTATGACAAATCACGGCTTGAACTATCTTGCTTTGCATGTAATGAGTCTATCTCATATATTAGTTTCACCTTTTAAGTTGCATTAGTGAAATAAATGAACTTTGCACTATATTCTAATTATTCGAGTTTCACCTGTATATTTTGGGGGGTAACTTTACTAAAGTAAAAATAATGCAGCAAAAGCTAGATATTCTCCAAGGTCTGGTTTGGGAAAGCCCATGAAAGCTGAAATTAAAGTAGAATCCTAACCCATAACCTAATCTGGTTTAAAATAATAAACACTAACAGCTGATTATTTGCTTCCTTTGCCTACATTTCCATAATTCTCCCCTGTTGTATAAAATAATTGAGACTTATGCTAAGAAGGGCTGTGATAGTCACAGATACTACACAGATGGGTGTGGGGTCCACCTCTAAATAAAAAAAAACAGTTATGATTTGTACACTTCATATTACCTGGTACTTCATATTCACCACTGGCCGGCCTGGTAGACGTATATGCCACCGCTAAGTTACGGCTCTCCTTGTCTTTTTGCCAGTGTCTGTATGCTAGGAAGAATGCGATCAGTGCCACAACCAAGATTACTAAGGCAATAATGCCAATCATGGGTCCAATGGAGTCTGTGGCTATTGAAGTCTTCGGCACCATAGTGACATCCATAGCGGGAGCTGTGTACACATAAAAAAGTTATAGAGGAACCTCGAAAAATTACATCTTTAGCATGTACACATCACCATTAATGGTGCTGTCTTTAATTGAAGACAGAGATATACCCTTAAGAGATGATACCCCAAGAGTGGAGCTGTACTGGAGTTTTGGGTGTGTTCCTAAAGCTGGCTATACACCTGTGATTTTCTGCAGATTTTCTATGGTCAGATGGAAAAAGTGCAACAGATTCCTCCATCTACACTAAACTGTTTGGATGGAGGAATCTCCCACTATGCCAAGCTTCAGTATCTTGCTAGTTGGCCCCGCTGGCTGTCAAAACACCTGAACAATGCCTGCATCCAATCAGATTGTTCAGCCACCCCACTGCCGCCCCACTGCACCTGTGCCCAAGGCGAGTGGCTCAGTCCCCTTGCCCTAGCTACGGCCCTGCCATTATGTCAGTTACGCACCCAGACTGTTCTATTACCAAACCATGCTGTTGTCATAGATGCAGTTTAGCATTTTCCTGCTGAAACATGTAAGGCCTTCCCTGAAAAGACAGCATCTGGATGGGGCATATGCTGCTATTTTTTCTTCAAATGGTACATTTTCTCAGTTTAAACATGTGATTTTTTTTCTATTTTCTATTGTGGATAAAATATGGGTTTATGAGATTTGCAAATCATTGCATTCTGTTTTTATGTAGATTTTACACAGTGTCCCAACTTTTTTGGAATTGGGGTTGCACTACTACACAGTGTCACTCTTTGTACTGTTACAGAGAAAGGAAAGAAAAAACACAGTTGGCCTTACCCTTTTCACAGCGTGCACCTGACCAGCCTGCTTCACACTGGCAGTGACCCGTCACATGGTTGCAGGTGGCATTATAGAGACAGTCACAGGACTGGTGGCATTTCAGTCCATAGGTTTTATGTGGGCACTCTGAATAAAAAAAAACAGTATGTTGATAGCTGATATTATAACTCCAACCAAACAAAATTATCTGCAAACTTACCCAGTTAAAACATGTAAAATATATAAAATATGTCTGTACTGTGCAACAATAGGTGGAGAATAAAGATTTGATTGTGTAAGGCAGTTGTTTTGAATTTTGGAGAAATGCTTTCAATTATTTTATTCCCAATATATCTCTTGGGAATAATGTAGCTTTAAGATGTCTGCCTCACCAACACATAACTCCACAGTGTCCTACAGGTTTTACCCCACTACATGTGCCATGACCATTTGCAAGGGGGAGTATGCAGGGCTGAGAGGCAGCCATCCGGTACTGGGGGGAGAAGATTCAAGGTCTCTATCCCACTCAAAGTAGAATTAAACCTTACCGGTATATTTAGTTTGCTAAAGTATTGTAACACAAACAATTGCCCTGTTTTTTCATCCTTAAAACACGTTTTCACCATTTTTGCTGATTATCTCCTTCAGACTCTTTCTGTCTACATGCACTCTCTCCACTATCAGCTGCACATTATTGCTTTGAACCAGCTTGATAGAAATAAGGGGGGATCGTGTGTGTCAGCATGGTCTCTTGTATTTTCCAGCAGTGGTGCTTGTGACAAGGTCACAATGCAGGAGCACAGTTGGGAGACAAAACCAATAACAGGAAATGTCATCTGAATGAGAACCATTCTGGCAGGATCTCCAGGTACGCTTTAAAGATGAACTCCAGATATAAATATTCATAGCACCCATTGTAGCTGCTTTTATGCCTTTTCAATCAAGAAACAGCATTAAGAGGATTCCTACGAGTGCCAGCTCTTTTCCACTTCATAAATATTTATATATACTTACAACGGTCAATCTTGGCCTATTGTAAGTACTTTATACCGGGAAGGACCACAGGGATTCTGTAAAGCACTCTAGTAGCTGCAGCTACTAGAGTGCTTTACAATGATGTTCAGAGTCCTGTAAAGCTGCTGTGCTGAGTGACTTCTACTCTGCTCTGAAAACACATGGGGCCACTTTCACAATGACCATTCAGCAAACACCTGCTATTTTTATCGGTGAATGCTAGGCATTGTCTCAGTGTATGAGCAGTGGTACCATTATGTCACCACCCCTGGTCAACCCAGGGAATGCCTAGTATTTAATTATTTTTAAAAAACATTAAAAGTAACTTTTGAAATTCCATTTACACAGGGGTAAGCAACCTCAGCACTCTACTCCAAAACTTCAAATCCCATGAGTTATTGCAAGACTCTGACAGCCACAGGCATGACACCCAGTGGCAGAGGTAGAGGCATTATGGGATTTGCAGTTTCACAACTGCTCTAGTGCTGAGGTTGCCTACCCCTGCATTAACATGTTTAAGGTTTATATGGGATTTTATTAATTGAGTTTTGATCTACTCTAGGTAGGAGTTAGAGAGATAAGGAACCTTTGCTAACGCATAAAACATCAGCACATTGCTATGTAGTGTAGATCACACAGGCAGGACAGACAATGCTGCCTATGATTATATTGCAGGAGTATAAGCATGGTCAGCCCAGTACATGATGCATACACTTAAAGGATTAAGAACAGTGATGAGACAAATGTATGGCCAGATTGGGTGACAATTGTCTATAGCCAATATATCAGCCTGGCCAAATTGATTTATGATAATAAAAACTCTTTGTGACTAGATGATCCTATCTCTGTAATCAATTATCTGGGATAACCTTTGAAGAGTATGGCTTTCAAGCATAACCCCCCGCCCAAAAAAAAAAAAACAATGCTAATTTAAAAAGTGTAGGCACTAGAATTTAACGATGTAGATGTGATTTTTTTTTAATATTTACTTACTAATGTCACAGAAAGCACCAATATATCCAGGCAGGCAAAAACACTTCCCATTCATGTGATCACAGTCTGCTCCATTCTGGCATCTGCATTTGTTCACGCAATTTTCTCCATATGACCCCAGGGGGCAGACTAAGCAAAATAAAACACAATGTATGCTATAAAATCTTGTCAGCTAACATTGCACTCATTTTACATCAATAAGGGGCCATTTACAATTACACGATATGGCCAAAAGTAAATGAATACAACTCAACTCCAAATTATTGGGCTTAGGTGTTTCCTGTGAAGGATAATCGTAACTACAGCATACAAAGACATTTTAGACAAATGTGTGTTGCTAACATTGTGGCCACAGTTTGGGGAAGGTCCTTTTCTGTCCAGCATGACTGTGCCTTTGTGCATATAGCCAGCTCCATAAAGACATGGTTTGATGAGTTTGGTGTAGAAAACTTGAGTGATCTTACGCATAGCCCTGACCTCAAACCTATGAAACACCAACTGCTAACCAGGTCTTTTCATCTGGCATCAGTACTAGACCTCAGAATTCCTTTTTGGCTATAATGAATTCCCACATACACACTCCAAAATCTTCTAGAGAGTCTTCCCATAAGGGCAGAGGGTGTTATAGTTGAAAAAGGAGGAGTGCAACTCCAAATTAATGCACTTGGTCTTGGAATGTGATGTCCACCAAGCTCAAATAGATAATTATCAGGCGTTATGATTACAGGTATTAACCCCAGTTGCAGTTACAGAAAGCAATATTTTTCGTTATTGTGGACCTTTAAAATCGTCTGGTTCCTTCATACGTTTTGATGAATAGGGAAGAATGGGGGACAGAAAAAGACAAATTGGAAACAAAGGAATCCTCAGACATGAAGCAGTTTTACCTTCAGAACACATTTTTCCAGTCCATCCCGATGAGCAAACACAAGTTCCATCAATCTGACTACATTGCCCTCCATTTTGGCAATAACAGGTGTTCACGCAGTCTTTTCCCCAAAATCCAGTTGGGCAAGCTAAAGAAATAGTATACAGAAAATGCATAAACAAAACAAGATTCCAAATAACCTAACAAAAGTTTAGAACAGCATAGTGGATTACAGGTTAATAGTATGAGCTTGGTGTGCTAGGCTCCTGGTTTCACAACCACCACGGACCTTATTCTATGATGCTTTTATGTTTTTTGAAAGGGTCTCCTCTGGGTTCTCCAAGTTTCCCCCTACTAACCTAACTGGTAGATTATTTGGCTTGACATCATTGTGGCCTTATATGAAGTAAGTGTAATATTGCGACTGGGACATTGAATTGTTACTGTCTTTAGGGGGCATTGACCTTACCTCTAGTGATATCAGGACTCACAAGTAGCTCACACTTCAGCATCTACCATAACTGAAATATCACTTTTGGGTTTACTGACCTTTCAATTTCTAGCATTTGTGTGTATATGTGTGGTTTTCAAAAATGAAAATGGGCACCACACTTTTGTAGTAACAGGCAAGACAACCATGAAAACAACAATATTTTTTGTAGAAGACGTAGATAGTTTGTTACTTGTGTCACCACTAAAGGTGTCATGGACAATAGACGGGGGTTGACAATTTTTGATTTTTCCTTTTTACTTGCTTTTAAATTATATATAGTTATGTCGCCTGCACATTTATGTAAACACCTGCTCACAAATCAGGTAGCAATTAGATGAGAAAAGTCAATCTGCCTGATATACTCCAACTTGTTGACATTGCAGGTGTTAATGAGCATTGATAATAATATTAAAAATACCCAAGTGGAAAAACGTTTCCACTCTGGTGGTAGCTACTTAACTATGAATTCTTTCATGTATGGAATAACAGCTTTCTTTTTGGAGAAAATAACATCCTAATTACACAAAAGCTGTCTAGAAGGGTGAATCATTGGTCATTTGGAATGGAAATGATGGAAATGACACCAGTAGGCTACAGGTAGGCCATAATGATTGGGAGTACATGGACAAACCTATACAGCCAATACAGCTAGTGCAATGTTGGTGGTGACACATGTGGTAATTTAATAGTATAGATGGACCCTGAAAACTACAAAGCTTGTTGTGATGGTGGTTTATGGCTGGACAAAATAAAAAATAAAAAACTCTTTAGGAGCTTATTTACCTTCAGAGCATATCTTTCCAGTCCATCCTGGCAAACAGTTACATGCCCCATTCAGAGGACTGCACTGACCTCCATGCTTGCAATTGCAGATGTTGGAGCAGTCTTTTCCCCAAAATCCTGTAGGACAGGCTAAAAACAAAATATAGGGACCGATTACTATACAACTCAAACTGTAAGCTTTCATTTGCAGTTAGAAAAAAAAAGTTGTGTTATACCTGTATGTGCATATGCTAAAAGTCCTTATCTACATCAACAGATATTGCTGATTTGGGTTATAGTTAAGGTGTATTAAGGCTTTAGTGCAATTATTCTTAGCTTCTGTATTTTGGATCTCACCTCCTTAAAGAGTTATATATCCTCAACTAAGTCTCTACAAGTAAGGTGGTTTAGCTTATTTAACATTTTATGGTTTGGTAAATATAAATTGTTGGTGGTGAATTTCATGCATCATAATAAGATATAAAAATAGAAAAATGCTGTGTAATGTTTACCAAATCATAAGAGAGGACAAGAAAACATAACTATAGGTAATGGTTCTCAAAGCAAATACATAGTAGTAAAATTGAAATACCTCTTACAGTTCTGTACTTTAGGAGTGGTCAACAATACAGTTTAATAAGCTATAATTTTATGAATGGAGTTCATAACTACTGCTTCTCAGTTGAGGTTTGTTTGACATGTACTGTACTGCACTACACATGGCTGGTAGTCACTAGATTTCATCATCTATTTTATATGGCAAAAAAAAGGAGTTGAGTTATCAATGGTAATAATGTAGGTAGGGCCAGATGGACACAGAAATTTGAAGAACAGTGAAAAAAAGGTAAAGGATAGTAATTAAACATTGGTTATTGGTAGAAAAATAGTGATGAAACATTGTTTGACTATTCTTACATAAAGCATAAAAGCACCACCATGTTCCACGACCCTATAATCAGAGAACTTCCATAGGTTTTAATCAAAATACGTTTATGCCTGTATTGCAAATCTGGACGCAGGTGGAAGGTCAACTGAACTGTAAATGTGGCTCTCTGTTCTTCAAACTGAAGGAAGGTGAGTGCACTAATTCCATGAGGGGGCTAAACAAATGAAATTTCTAGTTATGGATAGCTCTCTAAGGGGGGCATTACTAAAATATATTAAGCTTAACACTGGGAAAGTAGCTTGGGAGACAAGCACAACCCATGGGCATCTTCATGGTAGAGTGATTTTCCGTGGGCTAAAGAACATGCATAAGACAGTGTTTGGTGGCCATGATGAAAGGTAGGTGTTGTTTCATACAACCTGGATTATTGTAATACACCTTTTCACATACATACTGTATATGATTCAGGGGAATGTAAGGAACAAATTGTAAATGAAGAAGTACGCAAGAGCTGAATTAGATGACTACTATTCTGTAAAATTTACGTAGACTCCCTTATGGAGGAATATCTCTACTCAGGGCCACCAGCAGAACATATATTATTTCTACTGACTTAGGGAACAAAAGCTCTATTTCCCCCCAGCCCAGTCCTCCCTTATTTAGCTGGAGGGAATAAAAAATGTTGGCAAGCAATAAATGTCTTCCTACTATGTTACCTGGGTGAGTTAAAAAAGCAAAGATATAAGCTGATGGGTTGTGTGCTTAGGGCTGATACATGTACACATTCCTGTAATTTCTAATTGAGAGATATAAAAACATACGCTCAGAGCAGTCGCTTCCTCTCCATCCAGGTGAGCATTTGCAGAAGCCATCGATGGGATTACAGGTGGAGTGACTGGAACATTTGCAGGCAAAGGTGCATTTCTTCCCATAACGGCCTGGAGGGCAACCTTAAAAATAAAATATTAGGACAGAGTGTCACATGAAGCTTACCATCTTACCCAACAGTAATGTCGATGCAGAAGAAAAAAACTTTTGTGACTAAAGCTTTTCACTCAAGAGATTAAACTGTAAAACATACATGTTAATTTATCTTCACAATTTTTAGTTTTAAAAGTTTTATTGTAATGATGTTGAAGAGCATTATAAAAAAATAAAGAATTTCCCATAGCAGCTATATAAATAGGCAATAGTATCTAAATTTATATTTCCTATTTTGACTTATAAAGGGTCCATATTAATAACTGAACTTTAGCCTTACCTCTAGTCTGGCATAGCTGTACAGGCTTCTCTCCTGTACTGAAATTGCTTACATTAAGTTTAGTGCACACTGTGAGCTTTTCACAATGTGCATTAGAAGCTACAGCAAGTTACACAGAGGTCGCTTCCTTTCTGCCCGCCTGCCTAACTGTCCCTGACCAACCCTGTTTATTAATTGGGTTTCATTTCTTTCAGTCATGGCTCAGCATCATGTGTAGGTGCTACCTGGGGCAGTCAGCCATGCTAATGCCCATTTTTCCAGACTGACAGTCACCCATCAAGACATTTTGATATCTGCATAACCCCACCCATGAGCCAGCCCCCTCTACTTGCATCAGGGCTGAGGGCACTTCAGAGAAGTACTGAGGTAGGGTGCTACTATGGTGTTTTCAGGAAGCTATGTACAGGACCCTGCCAGTCCCTCCCATCCGCCATGATCTGTTTGCATTGCAAAGAGATGTAGATTTTGTGATGATATCACTGGAGCTAAAATGAGGCATGTAGTGAAAACCGAAATTTTATATTTAAAATGTCATTAGCATTAATGAGGAGGGGAGGGAGGAACCAGGGAAGGCAAAATATAAGCAGATTGAACTTCAACTTTAAGAATACATGTCATTATGTAGGTTGCTTCTAAACTCCTACGAGAACTACGAAGTACTCCTACGACAACTCAAGACAACTTTCAAGCTGCCGGGAATGTAGACCACATACATGATTTCTCTCATTAAGCCCCCATGGAGGGGGCGTGTTTTGACCTCCAAAACACATTAGCCACCCTACCTAATTGTATAAAGTCTTATCAGGACTATTTCAATTGGTGTGACGCTTCAATTCCTACATCCACTGTATTTTGTAGGTAGTGAGCTTGATGGTAACTAAGTTATCATAATTGAAGATGAACACATTTTTGTTCATATGAAAAGTCAATAAACAAGGCACATAATAACTTAATATGTATATATGACTTTTATTGCGAATGTTATCCATTCCTGGGCAGAAATTTGCTAATTATTAAGATAATGCTGATGATTTATATTTCTAAGTGTTATGTAATGTCTTAAAGGAGAACTAAGGGGTAAGTGTTTTTCCCCATAGTTCTCCTCAGGGTCATAGGAGGACATAAACTAGCGTCCTCCCGTGACCCAAAGCTCAGTATACCGCGAGCTACAGCTCGCGGTATACTGAGACCGCCGCAGCCGCAACGGATCCCGATATTACTGTCGAGATCCACCCAGCTGTGTAAGTGACGGAGTGGGGAGGGGGGAATCCCTGCAGGGAGCCGTGACAGTCACGGCTCTATGCGGGGACAGGATCGAGAAGTGAGCGAGCAACGCTATGTGTTCTCTCACTTCCCGATCTATTGAGCCGACGCTTGACAGTTTCATTGTCACACATCAGCTCAAACTATGAAGCCGAGTTCTCCTTTAATAACCAGATGTGAAGACAGCCAAGGCTTCTTAGGCTTATTGAATCAGTCCATAGGGTCCTTAATAGTAGAGTCATTGTTTTCATGCATAAATATTAGGGCGTAATTTTTTTGTTTTCATGCAGGAGAATGGTAATGTGAACCTTGGCAGGGAAAGAGAATTAACCTGTGAACTGGAATGTTAGTAATATGGCAGGATCCTTTGGAGAAATGGAACCTGAGATAGAGGACAGCATATTTATTTATTTTGCGAAATGAGAGGAAAGGTGGCATGTCAATCAAATATGAGATGTTGTCTCCTTAAGATTGCAATCCCAAAAGTAGCTGAACTGAGAAAGGTCATTATTTGTGTTTTGGGTTCTCTGTAAAAGCCAGGATTTGGGCTTCAGGAGGTAAAGAAAAAGTAAGGATTAGTCCTCCCGAAGGGCAATCCAAAGAGACTGTTATGGCAGCCCTCTAAGTACAAAGTTTATGTTTTGAGAAGCTTGACTCAAGTTACAGTTCCCTGTCAGAGAGGAACTAAAACATTATATTAGGCCTACACTGTCTCTGGGTGATTCTCTTGTATTCTCTTGAAGTCATTCATTGTAAACTTGGGATTATGTAACTTTTCCTCGAATATAAACCTGTGTCTAGAATTTTTTTCTTACTGTTCTCGCAGTCTGGTCCCTGGAAGCCAGCAGTGCAGGTACAAGATCCATCCTCTGCGGAGCAGATTGCCCCATTCTTACATGTACAGGACATGTTACAGTTTCTTCCCCAAAATTCCTCTTTGCAAGTTTGCTCACAGTAGATGCCTGAAGAAAATAAGACACATTCATGAAATCATAAGACACTCAAGGCTGGCAGTGCTAATACATGTATAAACACACCCTCTTTCTTTTGATACATTAACTATTGATCCTGATACTGTTTTAAATCCTTTTGATTCTATTAATTGTATTGAGGGGGAGGACTCTCACCCATAACTCCCATGACATTCAAGCATAGGGTGAGTTTTCTTTTCCCCAGGACATTTTAAGTGGTATGTTATGTATAAGAAGAACACACAAAAGCAGCACAGCCCCTCCGGGGCTCAGGAAAGGAATGAGTTGGGTGCTTGCTACTGGGAGCACATACTCGCTCCAGTATGAGCCAATACAAACAGCAGAAAAGCTGGCTACACACCGGATTCCAGTAGAAAAGTTTATTGACCAGTGATGTGGTACAAGCTTCAATAAACTATTCCAGTGGAATCCGGTGTGCGGCCGCTTTTCTTCTGTTTGTATGGGCTATGCTATATGCAGTTTGTTAAAATTGAGACCAGATTTCAGGGTTTAAACTTGTGTGCAAGGCTTTATACAATTCCATTGACTTTGTGAGATGGTATTGGTATTTACTGGGTACAACCTATGTGAAAGTTTTTCTTAGCTGTGTACAATTTGTGGATGTGGAAAATTCCATGACAGCTCTGGTTACAAACATCAATCCTGAAATTGCAATGAGTTACCAGCATTGGCATCCAGTTAAGGACTAGTTTTATTTTTATTGGACATGAACATATAGCTCATAACAACTACATTCATCTAATCATTCTTCCCATAGACATTAAAGAATTCAAAAATGATCCAGTTTCCGTGGACAATGCAAAAAGTATGTGTAGATATTGTAGACCAAAAAATATTATACTGACCGGTCCATCCTGGTGAGCACCTGCATTTACCGGTCACTGGGTCACAGCCATCTGCATTTTTACATTCACACCTCTGACTACACCCAGGTCCAAAACTGCCTGCCTGTATGTAAAGACAAATATAGTGTGTTTTACTTACTGATTCATAAACACAATGTTGTCTGCACATAAATAAGCCTTTATAGAAGTATACAGCAACAGCTCACTCAAAATTAATAGGTTTATATTTCAAGTCAGTCAGCATTCATTAAAAGATGAGTGAATTAGACACTTTACACATCAATTGGTATATGAATATATGTTAACCAGCATGAAGAGCATCTATTCTTTCAAACCAGTTAAAATCCCATTTAAGGCACTATCTGTAAGGAGTTTGCATGGGTTTCCTTGCACACTCCAAAGAGCAATATAGTGGTTAGCACTTTTTCCTTGCAGCACTGGAGTTTGCATGTTCTCGCTGTGCTTGTGTGGGTTTCCTCTGGGTACTCCTATTTCCTTCCACACTACAAAGACATGCTGGAAGATTAATTGGCTCCTGTCTAAATCGGCCTTGTATGTATGCCTGTGAGATAGGGACCTTAGATTGTAAGCTCCTTGAGGGCAGGGACTGATGTGAATATATACTATGTAAAGCTCTGTTAAAATGGTCAGATCTATATAAATAAATAAGACCTGGTCTAGTTATTTAAGAACCTGTCGGTCTGCATCTTGCTTTTTATCATCTAGGTCAGCGTGGATCAACTTAGGAGGTATAGGGGGTGATATCTGTAGCACATGATACCAACAAAGGGTCACACATAATATTAAAGTGACACTAAACTAAAGTGATACTAAACTCCGGACTTAAATCCTCAAAGTGCATTCAAGCATCTTAACTTTTAACAATACTGTATCTTATTTGTATATCACTCGGCTGTAAATCCTTAAATCATCTCTGGATTGGTGCTGACACTGTCCTTCCTTCGGGAGGGCGGCTACTTTTAGTCCACATGGTCCCTGTGTGTGTTGTAAAGTAGCCACCGCTCCAAGCCAGCTCCTGTTAGGGACTACAATCTCAAATATAGTTTAGTCATTTGCATTGAGATTGTAGTACATCACAGGATTGAGCATGGAGCGGTGGCTACTTTACAACTTACACAGGGATCATGGGGAACAAAAGTATACATCCTCCAGAAGGAAGGGCAGTGTCAACATGAATTCAGAAATGATTTGAGGAGCTACAGCCGAGTGATGCACAAATAAGGTACAGTTCTGTTAATAGTTTGGGTACTTGAATGCATTTTGGAGATTTAACTCCGGAGTTTAGTGTCACTTTAAGTATAGGTAATGCTACAGAATACTGTCAAAGACTATTGACATGCAACAGGTGTGGTTTGCGACTGGAGACATGCTGAGCAGCAACAGTCAGAGAGCTAGTTTCTAAGGGGAGCACAAGTACCAAAGGGTAGAGTGTTGGACACCATGTCTCTAGGTGTCAATAGAAAAAACTAATTACAACAAGTTAGACAAATACAATCTACAAAACACATAACTGAATATTTATACCTATCTTCTTTGACTTGAGTTCCTCTTTAAAGGTTCACACCGATTTAAGAGTTACATTTTAGTTATTGATAAAGACTAACATATTTCTGTTAGGGTTAAGTTTACTTGTATTCATATGTAGATTTAGTTAGTGCTGGCAGTTTATTGGGGGGGATTTAACAGACCAAAATGGAGCAAATAGGAGACGTTCACTGTTGGGATTTAGATCCCCTTTAACTGCATTGTGAAGCTTAGGAGTAGTAAATAAAATCTGGTAACATCCAGCTGTATAAGTGCAGTCTGTTACATACCTTGCATGGTAGCTCACATTTCTTCCCATACCACCCAGAGGTGCAGAAGCATTGTCCTGTGATTGGACTGCATGAGGCCCCATTGATACACTCACACGTCCTGTTGCAGTTGAAGCCCCACATTCCTTTTGGACAAGGCACTGAACAGTCACCTTTCTGCCAGCCTGCATTGGGGAAAATAATATAATGGAAAAATAACTACAAAAGATAAATAATATAATAACAAAAAAATATATATTAATAAAAATAGAAAAAAGCAGTTTTTTTTGTGGTTAAATCTAAACTATGACCAAAATTTTGACTTTTTTAAATTTACATCTATATTTTTATTTATTAAAAAACCTCAAGAAAATCAAGAAAATAGGAGAGGATTTTGGTTCTCAAATTTATAACAGGCAATACATCTGTGATACAGATCTTAATATCTCAAAGATGACATTTAGCAGCGACCGGCCTGAAATAAAAAAAACACCCCTCCCACAAAATTCCCTCTTCCACTTCAACTACAGTCAATCAGAGGCTCATTAGAAAGCACCCTATTAGTATACCATGGGGTCAAAACAAAAGATTGCATAGGTTTTCATTTTGTAACGGCTGGAAGTGAATCAATAAATGATTCCCAGACCTCAAAGAGCTTCTGTGTTCGTGTGTCCTTGTTAAGCATTGTCTGATTAAGAAATACACACAAAACATCAACTTACTCAAAAAGAGAGTTAAAGAAGGTGGTTCAGGATATATCCATTGGTGCAAAATTGTTTTCTTGGCCACTAATGATATAATAGACAATAACTTCCTAAATCACACAGTGATTTTAACTTCATGCAGATCTAAAATTCAAAAAATCGCCCATGCTGTGGTCATAGGAAGGTAATTCACTAATCTGTCAAGCATATTGGGCAATATTATTCCAAAAAAGGTTTATCCTGGGGCACCCCCAAAAGGCATGATTTTTTTAAATGAATAAATCTTTAAGCAACAGTTTTTTTCTCACAAAGATGTGAAAGATGTCAGAGACCTGCTGCTTCTGCGCATGCGCCAAGCGGGGCATCCCGTAATGGGCATGCGCGCATGCGCGAGCCAAGGATTGTCCGCGGAAAAACGCGCCAAAAGGTGCACAGGAAGTGACGCTCTCCAGATAATTTCTTCCCTATTTAAACCCAGACTCCACACCTACTCATTGCTGGATTGTCTCTTCAACCGCCCTGACGTCTTCTGATCCTTGTTTCCAGTACCTTTGATTATTGACCCGGATTGACTTTGACCTTGTTTGCCTGCAGCCTGCCTTTGACCTCGGAACGTTTGACCATTCTTGCTTGCCTATACCCTTGACCTCGGATTGCTTACTGGACTGCCTATGCCTACTCCCTTTTGTACCTGCTCTGCCTGCTCGGTGTGACCTCGGCCTGTTGACCTCGGATATCAAGATCTACAAAACTCTGCTACAAAACCAGGGATTGGCCGGCACGGTGATACCGCCTCTGGCCCTCCTGACACTCACTGTCTCTAAGGACTCTGTCCCCAATACCAGAGTCCCTAGGACACGAGCTGCAAGGGAAGCCTCCTCCTACATCCAGTCTCCACACAGGTACGTGATAAAGATTAAATTAAATAAATCCAATAGACATGTAAGCCAGTGAAATTTTTGTTTCGTAACAGATTTTTCATTCGGGTTTCGGGTCCGAACACTGTTTCACTTCGTTATTGTGATCTTTCGGAATTTCCTTTTAGTTAAGGACGGGGTTTTCTGATTGGCTAGAAAACAGTTACGTGTCCGATTTAGTTTAATTTTGAACAAAATTTGGATGATCAAAAATTTCCTTAAAAGAACATTCCGATTTGTTTGCATTCTGCCTCATTGGAATTCAGACATTCGGATCCGAATGCATCCGAATGTCCGAATTCACGAGATTTCGTCCGAATTTGCATTTGGAACAAAACAAAACTTAAATGTCTAAAAGCCAAGCAATTGCATCACACTTACCACACAACTCCTTAAAAAACTATTAAAAATTGCCCAGCCTTTTCTGACTGCTTTTCTCTTAATGACATTAAGTTTGATTTATTCATAGATATGAAAGGAATATCAACACGGTGTAACTGAAACATGCATAGATTAGAGCAGAATATAATTTCTCTGATAAATACTAGACATGTACAATCGGATTCGGACGAACCTACAAAATCAACGAAATTCAGTTGATTCTGCAGTCTGTCTGAATCCGAAATAACAATTTTTTAATACAAAAACGATATTCGGGCATATAAAAATTTGTTATCAGAACGCGCGGCAGCCATATTCTGCGCATGCCCACCGCCATCCTGCAGACGGGGTGCATAACGTCACATGATTCTATGTCACGGGTAATGTTATTTGCAGAACGAGCAGCGGCCGCTAGCGTGTTCTGCGCTTGAGTGCTGCCATTTTGGAGTATATCTTGGTATACACCAAGATGGCGGCGCCCACATATTCGGGTGCCACCATCTTTGTGTATACCAAGATATACTCCAAAATGCGCAGAACGCGCTGGCGGCCGATACGGCCGATGCCCGTTCTGCAGTTTCTTTGCGCGGTTTCGGAGCTTCTGAATCCGAAACAGCATTACATTTGTTTCCATTGACGAAACGAATGAAAATGTTTTTCATTTGTTTCGTCCGAAACACATTTTTTTGCCCAGCACATGACTAATAGATATTATCTTCCCTACATCTTTCTTACATGTCTTTCTGTGTATTGATCCTGTGTGAAAGACCCTGTCGTCAGACCATTCTCTAATAATAAATATCTTCCCATAAGATTATACAATATGTGCATTAAATGTATTTTATGCATGTTATTTACCTGTAAAAGCCTCCCTTGTGTAGACATCTAAAAACCCTGAAACTGCTGCTGGGCACAGATATCATGGATGTGATGTAAACAGTTCTAGCAGACTCAAAACTGTCACTCAAGTGGCATTCTTTAGTATTCTCCTTCACTCTGACATAAATGCACATGTAGGATGGCGCTGGGAACAGCTGGGACAGCAGTGAGAACAATTGGACACTACCAGAAGAGGAGAGAGCTATGGCTTGCAAGGACAGAGTAGGCTGTGCTAGGGAATTGACACTTCCTGGAGTAGTCAAACTTTCTAGTATGTGAAAAGATATATTGCAAGTCAATAAAAAACAATTTAAGGTTATGGAAAAAACACTGCAAGTAAGCATAGATTTGTGTGCTTTACCTGCATTTTTTAAGTTGTTGACAACTTAAAAACTTAAAGCTGACAAGGCAGCTTTAATATAGTGAAGCTCTCATTTAATGACTTACCTTCTTTACACACACAGGTACCATCAATGGGGGAACAGGCCAGGTAGTTTTTGCAGTTGCATTTCTGGGAACATTTATCTCCATAGGTGTCGTCAGGACAGTAGACAGAGCAGTGACTTCCCTGTAATGATATTGCCACAATATGAGATACGTGTCTCCTTGTAGCGTTCCAGAATGCTATATACAAGTAGGCTGGCATCAGGCAGAGCTCACTGGGAACTGGGTACAGACAAGCCTCTTAGGGATAAAAGACTTTAGGGTTTAAAACGTTACTTTGAAGACTTACTGAAAATCCGGGAGCACATTGACATGCACCAGTCTCACTATGACAGGACCCCCCATTGAGGCACAAACACGGCTCCTGGCAGTTGGTTCCATAGTAACCATGAGGACAGGTCTCATTGCAGTAGAGGCCGGCCCAGCCTGTCTTACAGGTGCATTCACCAGACATTGGGTGGCAACTGTGAACACAAGGAGATGTGGGGTAAACATATTTCTTCAGAGTATTTTTATTTAAGCACAGATTCCTACTCAGTTTTCTGGGCTGCATTCAGCACACAAGATGTTTGCTATAAAGTTGTGTGACATGAGTTTGCATGGTGCCATGGTGGTATGCAGATGCCATTTTTCGATAGAAATACCTGGCCCCCAGTTTTACTGGAAAAAGCACCAAATACACATATCAAGAGTCCAAAACTGTATTTTATTTTTCCACAGATGTCAAGAAGGTACTGAAAAACAGCCAATGCATTACAGGGGCCAAACAATTCCCTTTCATCAGAGCTTTGGCAACTGTCAGATACTATCTCAGATACTAAGATAGGATCCTGGACCAATCAATTAGAGCCAGGAGGTTAAACGATGTAACTGGAGAATGTATGTGTTAAGAACCCAAGCAGCATTCATTGACTGGCCCTTAGACCTGGTTTCTATTTCAGACTCTGAGATATTATATGACAGTTTCCAAAGCAATGGTGAAGGGGGATCGTATGGCCTCCAAAATGTGTTGGCTTTTTTCAACCAATTTTTGCCATCTGTAGAATAATTAAATACAGTTTTTGACTCTTGATACTTGTGTTTGGTGCTCTTTCTAGTTCACCCTTATGTGGATTTCCCAAGCAGGAAGATTCCCCCGTTTACTGGGAAGGCCTCCACTTGGTGGAGCGGGCTGAACACAGGTAATGTGAGCCTTGCGAACTAGAGACTTTTTCTTTTAAGAACCAAAGAATTGGGGCCAGTGCCTTCCCTCTTCTATCTCTACTTGGAACCAGTTTCACTATAATAAGCTGGCCTCCTCTTGTTTTGCATGAACCATTTTTAATACGTTTTTCAGTTTATGAATGTTGATGTTTTTATTGCATAGCTAGACATTTGTGCTATGGGGGCAAACAAATTAAAAGTTAGATTAAAAAGGACCTAGATCCATTTTGAATGTTTAATAATGAATAATTGAAAATTTGAATTAGGGATTTCATTTATACAACTGCAGGATTGTGTATGGTATGTAGTGATGCTTATCTTTGAACAGTATATTGAATAGGTAATTTGTTATATTCCAAACCATTCAATACTGAACAAAAAAGAAAAATAATCAACATTTTAATAATCTTAAATCTGTATGTTAGAAAAAAGGGTATCCAAATAGTATAAATCAAGGTCTAACTATACATAAATAATTACTAAATGGCAAGTTCCTGTCATTCTCTTGATTTTACATTTATAAAGGAAACAATTGGCCTAATCTTTAAAATATATTCTACACAGTTACTCAATGCAACCAATAGGAAACTGTTTTATATAATCCTGATTACAGTAAAATATTATCTCATTGGTTGCTGTAGGTCACTGTATTCTGTACATCAACATTGCTTTTTACACCATTTCAGTTGGTGAGCTTGCAGATGTAGTTACCTCTTAGTGTGCTGAGGATCACACTGGCAGGGCATGTTGCAGTGTATGCCGTATATGCCCTCTGCACACATTCGGTCTTCGCAGTTTTCCCCATAGAAGCCAGCCTCACAGAGGCACCCTCCATTGATATGGTAGCATCGTACGCCATTCACACAGTTACAGGTTTCTTCACAGTCCTGACCATACTTTCCGATAGTACACTCTTCCCGACAGCTGTGGTCCATCACAAAATGCAGTGAAATAGTTAGTGAAGCAACGTATGCATTTTAGAAATAGGTACTCATGCATATAGGAGATTAAAGCTGAAGTGACATTTCAATTTAAATCAACTACATACATCCCAGGTGCCTCAAAACAAAAGGTGTGCAAAGTCTTACAGCATTTTTTTCTTTAGAATGTAGCCACAGCCTCCATAGAAAATCCGGCACCCTGCCAGCATTCTGCAGTGAAGGGCCCTTGCTTTCTCCGTAGAAGCAGTGGTCGCTTTGCATTGGCCAGACACACTGCTTGCTAAGTCAGCTCTCCAATCAGCAAAACACATGTTCCATGCTGTCTAGTGATCTCTAGTGCTGACTCGGCAAGAATGATGCAGAGAGACCACTGCTTACACACGGAGAGCAAGAGTCCTTCAGCTCTGCTCAACAGGGGGCATGCTACATCTCTTCAGAGAGACCACTGCTTCCACAGAGAGAGCAAGGACCCTGCTCAGCAGCATGCTGGCAAAGGACAGGCTCTTCTACACAGGCTGTGACTGTTTTCTAAAAGAACTGGAAGCCTTTTGCATTTTTGCTTTGATACACCTGGAATGCATTTAGCTGAATTAAACTGAAGTTCAACTGGGATTTAAGCACTCCAGACAGCAAATAATATTAATGGATTGTGCTGGAGAGCTGTAAGAAACAAACACTAACATAATGCTAAAATACAACTTTTATACAGATAATCTCTGTGGTTGCAATTGAACCCAAGACATCAGTCCGGCATAGCACCCAGTCCAGTTTTACTTTTCCATACATAACACCTCATTTATAACAAAAACATGACTATAGCAAAACTTGCATATGTTGACTGATGGGATCTGAGTAGGTGCTATGGGTAATGCTGATGGTTTACATTTGATTTCTATTGCTGTGTTGTGGGTTTTCAATAGCTGGGTTTACAAATGCTATATTAGATTTTAAGGCACTACGGATGAAAACTAATATATATGCTGCTTAATTGGTCTGCATGCCGTACAACGTGCAAGCCAGCAGGATGCAGTGCAGCTGTTGGCCTCTAACCTTTATGCTTGTAATTTTTTCCAAGTAAGGTTTTGGCACCAAAAGTGACAATGTTTCTCACATTGCAGATTAAATATCAGAAATATTTTCACTAAACTATGTTTATTTGATTTGAATATGGATTGTAGAAAGAATGATGCATCTGCCCAGTGCTGGAAGTATAAAAAATGTTACTCAAGTAACATTCTACAGCAGCTTTTCTCAACCAAGGATTCTCTCACACATTTCCAGGGGTTCCTTGAACAAAGAACATGGTCTACCTCGTGGATAAGCAACCCTTGACACCAATAATCTTTTTAGCTATCTGTAAGCAGGGGGTACTTCCCACTGACTACAAATGTAAGCAGCATTCTTACCGCTGACCTTCACACTACAGTGAGCTGTAGGATATGGAATTATTAGCAGAGGAACAATATTTCAAGGGTTCATCCAGGTGTTGATGGGGGTTCCTTGAACAAAGAGAATGGTCTACCTCTTGGATAAGCAACCACTGACACCATTCATCTTTATGATCATCTGTAAGGAGGGGATACTTCCCACTGACCACAAATGTAAGCAGCATTCTTCCCACCTACCACCACACTAGTGTACATTGAGCTGTACATATGGTAATTATTAGCAGGGGAACGTTACTTTAAGGGTTCCTCCATGGTAAGAAAGGTTCCCCTTTGCTCCTACCCTGGCAATGTAGGAAAGTGGGGCAGAGGAGCTGGGCCATTACAGATAGTAATTATACACTCAAAGACTAGGAGAGGGCTGTGCTAGCTGATTGACTGGAATTGTCCATTTTCTAGCAAGTTCAACATGCAAGGGAATAAAAATAATTTATAACAAGGGAAAAATACCACATGTATACTTGATTTTAACGTGTTTTTATCTGCAATGTTTTTTGTTGGTGACAGTCATTTTCATATATACTAGGGATGCACCGAAATTTCGGCCACTGAAACATATCGGCAGAAAATTGCACTTTTGGCAAAATGCCAAAAGTGCCATACTTTAGCCGAAATAGCCGTGCATCCCTGGTTTCTCTCTTCCCTGCTGCGCACTGTTCTGTGTGCCCTCTGACACAGCCTAGCGTCCAGCCGGGAGGAGAGAAACTGTCAGAGGAGGTTGAGCGGTGCAGGAGAGGAGAACGATGTGAGCAGTCGGCGTCTCTTCTCATGCATCGCTCAGCCTCCTGTCGCTGTCACAGGAGGCTGGGCCGGTGGTGTGGGGGAGGAGTCAGCTATCAGAGGAGACAAAGCTCTCCTCCCTGCACCGCTCACTCAGCCTCCTGTGACAGCCGACCCAGGATAGAGAGCGGGTACAAGCACTCAGCGAACAGTGATCGCTGAGTGCTTGTAAATAATTGAGTACATAGTATGTATACTGTGTCCCCAATTATGAATGAATGGGAAGTGATCTACATCACTTACTGTTCGTTCATGATTGTGGACATGGTAAACATACTATCTCCACAAGTTATGAATGAACAGGAACACTCAGTATAGAGGCTTCCTGTTTATTTATAACAGGGGGTGCAGAAAAAGAGATTGAGGACTCTGTGTTCTCAATCTCTTTTTCTATTTTACAAGGGAAATATCAGGGGTCTGTTTATGACTTCTGATATTTCACCAAAGCCCCTAAAAGTAAAGTAAAAAAATTAAAATATCTAATAAAAATAAAATATTTGTAAAAATTTGAAAAGGTTAGAAAAAAAAATATTTCGGTTTTCGGCCTGACATTTTTTTTATTTTCGGTTTTGTTACGATTTTGAACATTTTAGTTTGGTGCACCTCTAATATATTCTGAAACATATTTTGCAGTATGATGCAGTGTAAGTGCCTACATTTGCTTCTTGCTATCCCTGATTTGATAGGTAGAGATAGCAGAGTGAGAGTAGGATTAGCTCATCAATCATCTGCTTTTCCTTTCACTGTCTAGTCACAGGCTGGGGGAGGGGCAAGTCCTATAAGAGTTACTTAACTGCAGCAGAGAAAAATCAGGTCTCCTGTCCCGCCAGACAGGGCTATGCAAGACCTAGATGGACAGAAATACAAATCCTCTGGCAAGTAAAACAGCTCCAATATGTGTATTTCATCCATCTATGTAATTAGTTATTTGCCTTCTTCCTGGCTTTATTTAGATAGGCCCATCTAACAACTCAGCTAGTCAATTTTATCGTGTTTCATTGGTAACAGACCCATTGGTGATATCCTGTATTAGAATATGCCAAAAACTAGAATACTACTCTATGGAAACACATATATTGGAATAGATTGGGCAGACTAATGAACACAAGGCAAACGGGTACTGCTATTGCTTACAGAGGTCTGTGAAAACCCTACAAGTCCAAGCAGCTGGTGGATTTTCTGAGCTGGAAATAAGCATCAAATCTGAACATATACTGTACTTGTTAATTCTTTTGTCTGCCAAAACCCGTCCAGCTCTGTTCAACTAGTCTTATGAACCAAACATTCCTGCCAGATGGTTTAGCAGGGCTCGTGACCTTGATTTTCTCCACTGCAGCAGTAATACAGTTTGGTCACTGACCTGCCTCCAAGTATCCTGATTAGAAATTAAGGGAGCATCACCATATTGATGAGATCAACACTCCTTTTTCATGCTGTCTTCCCATGTTAGCTTCCAACATTATATTGGCGGTATTGTGAAATACTATAAATCTTTAGATATAGAATGACTGTAAAAAATTATAGTACTTACAGAAGGTGTATTTACGAATACAAATAATCATTTTAAATGAATCCCTTAGCATTCATATATGCATTCCTCTTACCTATAAGGGGTTAGCTTACCAATCTCCTGTGTAGCCCAGAGCGCACTGGCATTGCCCACTTTCTGGATCACATTGGCCATGATTGTGACAGTTGCATTCATGCTCGCAGCCAGAACCATAGTACCCAGGTGGGCACGGGATGGAGCACACTGGACCCTATAGAGATGGGAGAACATTAGAAAAAGCATAAGTTCCTAAAGCTTTTAAATATCCAGTGTCTATTGTAGTATGGATTAAATTATTATGGAGGAATTTTAGATGTTTTAAAGGACCCAGTGACAGCTGAAATATCATACTGTGAGGTCATGTCTTGTGGCCAAGATGTGAATAGGGTGTGCAGCTCTCCCAATACTGCCGCATCCTTTCACCGATCCTGCCACACTCAAAGTTCATATTGTGCCCTAAACATCCCTACAGTGTTGTGGGCACTCTCTGCACAGCTAGCAATTGTAAAGATCGGGAAGGCTGGGAGCAAGTCAACTAGGTTCAACAGGAAGCTTCTCTAAGATGATGTCGATGCTAAATGTTGAGCTCCTGCTCCTTCCTCCACTCCTGTAGCAGTCTCAGTCTGGGTGATTCTCCTGATCTGCACTGGGCATATACCCAGGATCCTCTCTTTTCACTTGTCACTGGAGACTTAACCCCTAGTTTTGCTAGCCTGTCTCTTAAATTGGTTCCTCAACCCACACTTGCACTAATAATGGATGCAATTCATCACTGTCAGGCTTCTCTTACTTCTCATGATGAAACTGTAAAAGTGGATTTGTCGATTCTTTAAAAAAATGCCCTGACTATTAGGCACAGGATTTCTAACGCTGAACAACATATCAACCTTAGAAGATTCTGTACAGCCCATGGAATCAGAAATTAGATCCCTTAAGAGGATTCAACCCACTCACTCTGATAAATGTGGGGAAATGGAGGATTGCCTTTGCTCTAACAATTTGAGGATCCTCGGATTTCCTGAGGGGGTTGAGGGCCATGAGGAATTTATGGAACAATAGCTTAAGGCATCCTTTGGTGACAAAGTGTTTTATCATCTTTTTGCTATTGAGTGTACTCACCATGTTCTGCTTTGCTCTTTGCCACCTAGAGCACCCCCTCTTGATCAGACTTCTACAAGACAGGAAATCTATCCCTAGAGCTTCACGGAATAAACAGGCTCTTACTTACAATGGCAATCACTATTTTTCTGGATTTTTCAGCTGCAACTCTGAAAGAACGCTCACTGTGAAGCAGTGACTGCGAGATTAAAATGTTCCATATACAGTAGTATGATATAACTGGCCAGGTTGAGAGTGGTACAACATGGACACACTCACTTTTTCCTGGATCCTAAGGGTGAGTATCACTGGTTGGACACACAAGGCTCTTTTCTTGGCCGCCAATTGCCTGGATCTCTGCGCACTTGAATCTGTGTCCTCTGTGATGTGCTGATTTTGTATGCAGTGAATATACATTGAGTGGCCAGATTATTATGACCACCTGACGTTTGTAGGCAAATTAGCTATAATTAGCTATAATTTCGCGCTGAAGTTGCTAGAGGGCCAGACCATTATAAATAGGGAAGCAGGTTGTTTACAGCTTAGGATGGGCTAAGTGTTCGATTCGAACATGAGTTTGAATCGAACATCGGCAGTTCGAGTGCTCGCCGAGCGCCGAACTTTATGGAATGTTCACGGTCTGTTCGACCGCGTACATTCCATAATACAAAATGCCCACTAAAGCTCTGATTTGTTAAAGTCTTGCACCTGACCATAGGTCAGGTGCAAGACTTTGCCCAATCAGGGCTCAGTGGAGGAGGGGCCTGAAGGAGAAAGTTCTCTATCAGGTCCCCCCATGTGGGCGGGTGCAATAGCCAGCTTGCTATTGGCTATTGCATTTTACAATATCCAATAGCAGGCTAGCTGAGTGACTATATTGCCAAAAGACACCCTAGCATTGCCACGCACTGCCACACTATGTAATCTAGATGTACATAAATAGTAATAATAAAGGGACAATCATCCAAAATTCTTACCTTCCATCCTGGTGGACACGTACACTCATCAGGGGTCTGGTCACAGATACCTCCACTCTGGCAGGGGCAGTGCTCGGGGCACTGAAACTTGGATGGTTGAACCTCTGAACATCTGATCTCACAACTGAGGAAGGAAAAACACTTGTTTAATGTATCTGGCCATCTTTGCTCAAGTTATTTTATTTACAAGAAGTTAAAAAAATTGTAATAGGACATTTAAGGTACAGTGTAACGGTAAGGTGTGATAGGCTACAATATCAATACAAATTAGTAAACTAGATGTGAGATTGTAGTCCATCACAGGCGTGAGCTTGGAGTGGTGGCTACTTTACAACCCGCACCGGGACCATAGAGAACAAAAGTAGCCACCCTCCAGAAGGAAGGACAGTGAGTGATACACAACTAAGCTACGTTTATGTTAATAGTTAAGGTACTTGAATGCATTTTTAAGATTTAACTCCTGAGTTTAATACAATAATAATGTTGTCTTATTCCAATACAAATTAAGACATTTGTTTACTCACTAAGGCCCAGTGTACCCTTCTGGACAAAGACAGGTTCCATTATGAGGGTCACAGCTGGCTCCATTCTTACACTGGCACTCCAATAAACAGCTCACTCCATAGGTGCCTGGGTCACATGGCTTCTCACAGAGGGGATCCTTATACCCTGGGGGGCAGATGCACGACCCCGAAATGGCATCACAAATCCCATTGTTTAGGCATGGACAGGAATAGTTACATCTGGGTCCCCATAGATGGGGGTCACAAGCTGGAGATATAAAAGGTTATAGTAAAATGCTGAAGTAGCTAAAAAGTTTAAAATGGTCCATTTTAAAGATTTAAAGATTTTACAAAAAATATGCTTTGAGTAAAAACAGAGATGTAGAAGTTTTGGGTGGACTAATGTGTACTGGAACCCAAGAACAAAAATGTACTATATTGCAGCTTACTAGTCCTTAGTTGTGATGGCTGTATTGCTTTTCTTTTTTTCCAGGCTTTTCTTTTAACCTGGTGATTGTACCAGTAATACATTTCCTGTCCTGTCTTTTTTTCTAGGACAGATCAGGCTTTAATTTGGTAGCAGATTTAGATACATATATTATTTTCCTAGGTTTTAATTAATATAAAATAGGTAAAATGAAACATTTTTTCACTTAGTTTCAACTTTTAACTGAAACAGGGCCAGACTTTTTTTGCCTCTAGGCCAGCTACCTTTAGTCACCCCTTTTCCCACTCCCCAACAATAGGTTTGTTGGCCGTCCCCCAACACAGCTAGAAATGTGTCCACAGAGACACCATCAGTACTGTTGTGACATAACCAGAGACGTGTTTGTAGAAACACAATATTGTTGCCCATACAGGGTTCTGACTCCCTACTGAGCAGGCAGGGGATTGTGGGAGCAGGCATCAGTAAAAATGTGGTTAGGCTGGCGGTGGGTGGGGGTGCTGGATATTAAAAAGCAAGTATGCAGGAGGAAAGGGAGGGTACAGGTTTGCTCCACAAGCTCTGTGAATCTATAAGTAGAAGTATCCAGTTTAAATTGAATGCAGCCTGGATTACTATGTGCTGTCTCTGGTGGCCATGGGACCCTAAGACATGCTGCCCAGTGAGAAATCTGGCCATGATTCTAAAGTATGAACCACAAAGGCTTCTTATTAAAAGATTGTCACATAAATGTGACTTTTATAGAACATAGAGAAATGGTAAAATGCAAAGTGAAAGTTTGCATTTTTACTACGGAGAGCTGTTTTCCCTTTTTCCTTTACATCACAAAGCACACAGGAGAAAGGAGAAAGTCATTTGTTTGGGTAACAACACTTTAAAGAAGTTTGCAATCACCAAAATTTAGTTTGATATGTGCATGCATGAATGTTTGATGTTTATGAAATTGATACAAATGTTCTGCAGAGCATCCAATATATTTGGGACCTGCAAATTAATAGGAAACATAATTTTTTCATTTGTTTTCTTTTCTTTTTTTTTAGTTGTTTTTCATTCCCCAATACTTCTTTTTTTCTTTATGTGAGGTCTGGACCTGGTCTCTTGGAAGACAAGAAAATGTAATTCCAGTGTAGTTTTAAAACAACATGTAGTTAGATAGGGGAATTCCTACACGGACGTGCGGTCAGGGGAGGCAAGTGAGGCAGAGCCTCACCTAGTATTATGGAGGAAAAAGCTGTCAGCTTCAAGTCTGAAGCTATCAGCTTTTTCTCCATTCAGAGCAGCTTCTAACAGGTTACACAGCAGGGAAAGCCTCCCCACTGTGTAACCTGTCATGGACGGAGTGCTGCCTGTTAATTACAGGCGCCGCTGCATCCGGCTTTTGACAGTTAAGTTAGGTTACACAACAGCGGGCTTCCCCACTGCTTGTGTAACCTAACATAGTGAGGTAAGAGCTGCAACAATCTCTATTTGGTGTTAGAGGCTTGAGCTCTGTGGATGGTTTGGACCAATGGCAAAGCGCCATTGGTTCAAGCTGTCCAATCAAAAAACAAACAAACAAACACTGAGGACATTGCGCTCGATGCCTCACCAGTGACAATCAAGTGAGGGACAGGGAGGCTCCTCCCTGTCTTCTCCCTTCTCCCCACATAGCTTGTTGACCTGGTTGGGGGGCGGGGGAATGCCTCATCCAGCACAGAATGTACTGCACGTAACTGAATTCCTATAATTTGGCCAGATGCTAGCCTTCTTAAGAATTAAAATGATCATGATCAGATAAAATGGATATCATTCAGCATGATCAACACATTTAGGCCCCATTCACAATACATCCATTTTTCAACAGATGTCAAAGCAAAGACATCTGAAAATGAATGGGAGCAGTTCACACCAGTCCGTTACGTTGCCAGCAGGCTGTACTTTCTTCCAACGCAATGCTTAAAGAACACCACGCTAAATAAGGTATTGGCTCTGCTTTCCATTGACATGCGTTAGCAGTTCACACATGTCCATTGTGTTGCATTGTACCACCCACCGCTAATAAAAAAGTAGAGCAGGATCTACTTTCTTTCAACGCAACGCAGCGCAGCACAACACAACAAACTGGTGTGAACTGCTAACACATGTCAATGGAAGCCAGAACCAATACCTTGTATAGTTTATTGTAAAAACCAAAAAAGAACCCCAAAATTTAGTGCAACGTAACATAACGCAACTCAACGTAATGAAACTCAACGGATGTCAATGGACTATGCAAACTCAAGTCAACGTACCTTGATTGACTCGTATTTGTGGCTCTGCTTTCAGTGTGAATGCACCCTTTAAAGTGGACCTTTACCTCCTTTGGCTAAAAATCACATCAGTGTGCAGCTCTGCATGCTGCTATGAAGTCATCTTACATTCATTAGTCAATAAAACATAGAAGGGAATTTATCAAAACTGGAGCAGACAAAATCTGGAGCGGTTGTGCATGGCAACCAATCAGCTTCTCTTCTTCTTCTTTCATTTTCAAATCTTAACTGAACAAACTGAAGTGAGAAGCTGATTGGTTGCTATATACAGTTGCTCCAGATATTGTCTGCTCCAGTTTTGATAAATACCCCCACCCCCCCATAGTTTTATTTTACTTACAATTTCTTGTTTTCTGCTTCCTCAAGCTTTGGCAAAAGTGATGTAATGTGCCCAAGTGTTGCATCCTGGGAAGCTTACATCAACAGTGCATTGCTGGGAAAGCTCATCTGTAATCTCACAAGATCTGCCCTGAGATAATGTGCATGGTCACATGCCCTAGTTACATGTGCCAGATTTCCAGGTGGTAAAGCGAGATGGATTCATCTGCCCTTAATAAAAATGGCCACTGTGAGAAGAATGGGGAGTTAAAAAAACAAGGTACGCAAAAAATAAGTAGTCATCAATTATCTATAAGTATGTGTTTGTAGATTGTCATTACTAAACTTTTCTAAAGCTGTATTTATTATTTTGAAGATATGGGTAAAGTTCCTCTTTAAATGCAACAATGCAACATACAGTGTTTTGGGGTTATGCCTCTCTCCACTCTTGTGTTAGGGCCCACAGACTTGTGATATCCACCAATGTGCATAAATAAAGGTCTATTTATCAATGTTTTCACCCAATATTCACACATATTTCACCCAAGATTCATACATTTTACAACTGAATTCAAAGCAATTTGATTAGTTTGAAAACATTTTTTGTAAATTTTAGGTGCAATTTATGGAATCTTTGGTAAAAACACTGATTAATAGACCCCATTGTGCTTAGAGTGGACCTTTACCCATCTCTTAAAAATAACAACAGGCACACCTTTAGAAATGTTTAGTAATGACAATCTACAAACAGATACTTCTAGATAATGGCCGGCTTTGTATTCTTTGCATACCTTATTTCTCTTATTTCTCTTTTCTTCCCCAGTTTTCTGACAGTGGCCATGTTTACTAAGGGCAGGTAACTATAGCTCCTATACTTCCTGAAATTTGGCACATGTGACTAGGACATGTGACTTGAACATCATCTTAGGGAAGGAAAATGCCTTTCACAGAGATCAGATTTCCCCACAATGCTTTGCTAATGTAACCTTCCCAGGATGCAATGCTTTGGCAAACTGAAGTCATTTTTCCCTTTCAAAGTAGGAAGTGAATGCTCTGCAAGTGTAAGTATTTCATAATCACACCATTTTACACTTAACATGTCTATTTTATTATTAATCATACATCGAGGGGTGCATTGGTAGAATTTGATTTTTGAGTGTAAAGGCCCGCTTTAGGATGAACTAGACTAATTTTATCTCTATAAGTAACTGACAGTCATGTTATTGATTATTTAGTCTTTTTCTGGTTTAAACTAAAATGTTATCCCTCTATGGAAAGTATCAAATCTTACCAACCAATGTAAATGCTTTGCCTTTACCTCTGACTGTTGCTGATTACAGCAGTTAACCACCAAATTATAACCTCAGTTGCATTTGTGTGTAATAATATTCATGTCATGTTTGTTGATATAAGACTCATGCCGTTACTGATTATATTTACCATATACTGGGATACCAGATGATATGGCTATTGCTCTAGACTTAAGTGTTATTATGAGAACATATTTATTTACTGTTCTAAAATGATTCTGATGTGAAGAGCGGTTCCCGGGGGAGTTCTGTGCCTGGGAATATTCAGAGAGATGCCTGTCCCCGTCACAGGTTCAAACCCTCCCTTTCTCATCTCAGCGCCATTTAAGCAATAGCAATGCATAAAGCTTCTAACACCAAAGTGTGATTAGTAAAATTGTAGTAAGATTTCAATTGTAATTTTTCCATCAGCAATAACTCTTGAAAGGTGTCTCACTTTGTGAGGCAAATTTAGTAAGGCCCTCGTACAACTCTTCTCTCTGCGGAGACTATGAACAGCACAGCGATGATGTCACTGCTACATTTATATGGTAATCTAGGTTTGCAAAGGCATTTGGAACTCACAAAGTGGATTTATATTTTGTGTGGCTATTAATGAATATATTTAAATGAACATTTTTTTTTTGCCTGGGATCAATATGTCTGCAAAGGTTCTCATTCATTCTGGCCATGGTATATCTGTAAAATAAATTAAGGCAAGTGGACTTACTGTATTTTTCCTTGAAGACCTTTCGCTGGGCATACAACTAGCTTTCTCAATTGAGAAAGCTAGTTGGGTGACCAGAGAAATGTCTGTGAAATGTCCAACTGGCTTTCTCAATTGAGAAAGCTAGTTGGGTGACCGGCAAAATGTCTTCGAGGAGAAAATACAACATGTCCAGGTGCTTTGATTTATTTTTTACAGAAATACCTGGAGTTCCGCTTTCAATTTTTTAACCTTGTAGAACAAATACGAGTTATAATTTGCAGAAGTTGCATCTACAGTAGCTGTAACTTACTCAACTTTTTTGCATCAGAGCTATTCATGAATATTAGTTGCCATATAGCCAAGAATGGAAATTCCTATAGTGATAATTATACATTAAGTATATATGTGGTAAAGGCACAATTACTCACCACTAGAGCAGTCTTTTCCTCGCCAGCCCGGCTCACATTGGCATTGGTTTGGTGCCACACAGCGACCATGCACGCACTCTCCACTGCAGTGTGCTGCAACACAGAGAACCATGTCAATGCACAAATGGAAATGATACCTCATCCAACCGATATGGACAATGTGGGCATGTTACATGAGATCTTATTATGTCAGTAATGTTTAAAGCATACGAATACTGCTAAAATAACTCATAGAATTTAGTGAATAAATGCCACAGTGTATCTCCAGGAGGAGGTGATAGTTCCAGGAAAGAGAACAATTCTACAGCATCATGCACAGTGACTCCACGGTAGTTTTCTCAGAGATACTGCCGGTGCCAAGAGCCACTCCGGACAGACAGCGCGAGTTGAGGGAGCTTAACAAGTGGCTCCGGAGCTGGTGTCAGAAGGAAGGTTTTGGTTTCCTGGAGAACTGGGCTGACTTCGCAGTCGGCTATC